TATATATATATATATATATATATATATATATATATATATATACTTTCTCTTATTGCATGCGATTTGCATAATTCAGTAATTTTTTTATGATATCCATTTAGTTTTATTTAATTATTTACAGAACATTGGTATGGGAAATGATCTTCATATAAAGCAACTTACGCAATGTTTAGATGAACTTCTGCTTGATCCACCAACTGTAAGTTTTGTTTACAAAATATTTTTAAAATTTATGCTACTATGCCGCAGTATTTTAAACAATTATTATTTATTTTTTTAGGCCTCAGAATTGACTAATAACATACCTTTAAGTACAAATAATAATATAAACTGTCATCGCAGACTTTACGAACATACATTCACAACACTTCAGAACTGTGACCTATGTAAAAAACCAATGTTTGGAATCATTAAACAAGGTTTTATGTGTGCAGGTTAGTTTTTCTTAAAAGCGTGTGAATTATTTTAAATAAAAACTGATCAGGGTTTCAAATGTTGCGTATCAATTTAATTTGTATTTTGCGTAACATCAAAAGCAAACATTTTTTATTTTTGAACAATTTCTTATTGGTCTTTGCACCATGGCAATAAGAAATAATAAACTCTTATAATATAGAATCTAGAATGCATCAATAATAAGTCTGTATAACAAAGATTCAAGAGTGAAACATACTCTTAAGGTAAGGATTTAAATGATACATTAATAATAAATCTTTATAATAAAGATTTAAGAATGGATCAATAGTATGTTATCATAGGTATTTGAGAATGCATTAATAACTCCTTACATAAATTAAGAATGCATTGAAAATTAGTCCTTACATAAATTAAGAATGCATTAACAATAAGTCCTTATTAAAATATGAATGTATTTGTAATAAGTCATTAACAATGCATTAATGATAAGTCCTTATCAAAAAAGTTTGAGAATGCATTAATAATATATCCTTATTTAAGGATGCATCAATAACAAACTCTTTTAATAAGGATTCAAGAATGCAATAATAATAAACATTATTTTTAATTGTTAAAAATTTCAATTTGTAATTTTTTAAACTAATTAGTCAACTTTAAAAAAAACATTAAACTAATTTTGTTGTTACGTTTGTGTTTATTTAAGATTGTGGAAAACAGTGTCATCGATCCTGTGCATTTGATCTGATCGGTCCTTGTTCAGAAAGATTATCAGGGAGAAGGCCATCCGATTCACCAGGTTAAATTTAATTTGTGTTTTTTTGTTTAATAGTTAAGGTTCATTATGGCAATTTGATAATCATTTTGAGAATCATTTTTGATAGTTATTTTGATAATTATTAGTTTAATTCTAATTTAAACCAATTATTTAAAGACAAATAACTTTTAATAAGAATTTACTTAAGATAAGAAACTATAGTTCAAAACAAAGTAGTTTTTCTTTTAAGTAGCTTTTTCTACCTCTGATTTTTCAGAGAATTACAATGAAAATTTAAGAGAATTAACAGTGTTTAATGAGAAGTATTTAATTAAAATTTAAATAATGTAAAATAAACAAAAATGCCAAGATGTATTGAGCAAAAAAAAAAAATCTTTATTAAAGACTTTTTTTTTTCTTTCTACCTCCTTATGCCTTGTTTCTTTTTATCTCTACCTCCGTATGCCTTGTTTTTTTTTATCTTTAGTCTTTTATGCTTTGTTTCTTTTTATCTTTACCCCTTTATTCATTGTTTCTTTTTATATCTACTCCATCTACTGTATTGTCTCATATCTACTTCATCATGCATTGTTTTTATATCTGCTCCATCATGCATTGTTTTTTTGTTTTGTTTTTTATCTGTACTCCTCACATCTTGTTTTTTTATTACCTATTTTTTTTTTCATTACCCATTACTCTTTGTCATACAAAATTTTGAGTATTTTCTTGTTTATTTATACAAATGTTAGTATATTTTTAAAACTCCATATTATTCTAGATCCATCATTTTGCTGTAACTTTACTTCAGTTGTAATACCTCCTGTTATGCGAAAATGCATTGAAATGATAGAAAGCTTTGAGATACTCACAGAGAATATTTACACTAAAAATGTTCCATATATTTATTGCAATGCTCTACGTTCAGCTCTGAATCAAGGTTTCATTTTTAAATTTAAACATTATTTTTGTTATAATTTATTTGCAATGTATTGTTATCTATTAGGCAATACTATAATTTTTATCTACTATATTATCATTTGATATGGGATAACAGTTTATTATATTATTGGATTGTTCTAGAATATTTTTGAGATGTTATATTTGATCAACAAATGTTTATTTAATTTTTATGTTATATTTTTTATCATTTATATTTTTTTGTAGTATAAAATTTGATAACACTATTAGACTTTTATAAATGCTATTACAAGTATAGTGCTGGGCAAGTCAAAACAAATACTTTCTTTTAAACTTTGTAATTTCTTTAAATAACATGATATTTTTTTAAGTTACAAATATTTTAGAGTTTTTTCATAATATTGGTAAATAAATGTGCATGTTTCAAGAAATACACAACAATAGAATTATACAGAGAAAATGCCTATATTTTCCTTATAAATTTCAGTTAGTTATCTGTGAGTAAAAAATGTGTTTTAAAAAATTTAGTTTATAGTGCTTTTACCCTGCATTTGATTTTGACCACAGTATCAACTTAAGCAGTTCTTAGATGCTAAAACATGTTGTTAACTGTGATTCCATGATTGTGAAGCTATATTTGTTTTAAAATGATGAAGTAGACATGTTTATGCTTTTGATTCTTCACAAACTTATTTTTTGTAAATTAAACTTTTTTATACTTAAAAAAGAATAAAACAGCAATATTAAATGCTTTTGATTAAAGGTAGAACTATAATATCTACCTTTTTAAGCTTTTTCTTTTTCTTTTAAATTCTTGTTTACTTATTGTTACAGCTTCTTTTCTTTAGGGTAAGTTAACTTGAAAAATATTAGTACATCCTTCAAAATATCTTTAAAAAATTTTTATTTTTTGGATCCATCACTGTCGCAACCACATTTTTGACACCTAAAGGCTATAAATCATCAATAAGCTTATTCAAAACAAATTTGCAAAATATTGTTTGTTTTAAGTCCCTTACGTTGTTGGAATTTGCCTAGGTGCAAGGTTATAAAATTTTTTTTTCTTAGCATAATTCTTGAAAGCTCATCATTTTGACAATTTTTTTTCATTGCAATGGTAGAATATCATGCTCATTTTTAACATGTCTTTAAGTTCGAACAAGTTTCTTAGACAATTTAAAGTAACTTAATATCTTTTTACATGTCCATAATTCTGGTGTAAGCATTAACATTTGCACTTTATGGGGATAAGAGTCAGTTACTTAAATTTACTTTTTGATTTCATACATTAAAATGTCTAGATCATGATCTTTCTTTAATTTATGGTTTAAAATGCTGTTGTTTGGTTCTGCTGTTAAAGAAGCTTTATCAATATCATATGCAGATGAAACCATTTTTACAACTCTGTCTATAGTGTCACCAGACTTTTGTTTTGCTGCAGGTATTTTGCAGTGTTTTTGAACACCTTTCAATTTGAGGTCGGCAAAAAATTGCCCACCTTGTTTCTATGTTTTGTGTTCAGACTTTTGTATCAAATAATTTTTGCTGACCTTCTGCTGACCTTAAAAAGATTGAGGTCGGCAATAATTTGCCAACCTCATTTTTCCTAATTCTGAGGGTTGAGCATATAATTTTAATTGAACTCAATTTTTAATTTAGTTTAATCAAAATTATTTCTTGCTTGCCAATTTATTTCTTCTTGCTGTTCACAAGAAAGATCTTTGAGTTGAAAAAGACCTTGTTTTCCTGAAATCCAAAATCTTTGAGTTTAGCTTATATGGGGAGATATTTTAACCAACTTTTGAAGTCTACTGTATATAAAACAAAGCTACTGTATATATATATATATATATATATATATATATATATATATATATATATATATATTATATATATATATATATATATTTATATATATATATATATATATATATATGTATGTAACTGTATACATACATACATACATACATACATACATACATACATACATACATACATACATACATACATACATACATACATATAAATATCATGGCATTCTATAATAACAACCCTTAACATCACACAAAATGCGGTAAAATCTGAAGTCTGTTTAAACTATTATTTCTTTTATTGATATTCTTTCATATAAGGTAGACTGTAATGGTAGTCTATATTTTCTAATGCATATCTCTAATAAAGAAAGCAATATAAAAGGAAAGCTAGAAATTGTTAAAAGATAATTTCAAATTTCATCAAGAATATCAATTCAGTATTGAATTATATCAATAACAAGCGGAACCATAACAATGTATATAACTATATATTAGAAATATAAATATATCTTTTTTTAATACAAATTATTTTTTTTCCTCACAGAAACATAAATAAAGAAAAAGGTATTAGTTAAACAAGTTATATCTCAACAGGGTAAATATATGCAAATCCGAATACATCGAGAGACATAAAGGCTACAGAAGAAATTTTCGTTTTAGATTCATTGCTACTGCAGGCAATGGTAATTAGTGCGTAATTCTTTAGCAAATATCATAAATATTTTGGATTGTTTTTTTGTTGTTTTAAATTTATACTTAGCTGCTATAAACTGAAACTGAGTAGCACATTTATTTATTTTTTTTATTTGAGTAGCACCTTGAAAAAATAAAAAGCAAAATATTAATCATTAGACAAGGCTATTCAGATAACTTCCATTTTTATAAAAATAATTGGTAGTGTCATCATAAATTTTTATTTTGCTTTTTTGCACATAGCCAGTTATGTAAACTATAACCACTAATGTAAAGTTATGTAAACCACTAATGTAGATTTATTAACTAAGCATTCAAGATCATGTATATTATTCAGCAGTTCTTTTTCATCAGCAGAAATATCCCTAATACATATGTTGCAAGACTATCAATGCCATCAATACCATCAACAAGAATGTCAAGTTGTAATATCAATTTAAAATGTTGGCTTTATATTTTTTCAATTACAGAAATAGCATTTACAAAGTAAGTTCCTCTAGATTCCTGTTTAAAAAAGCTTTTTCAAGTAGATCTGTTGAAAACCAACCTAATTAAACATACTTTGCTCCATTACTCAACAATGTTTTTACTAGATCAATTAAGCTATAGCATGTATGGGCTATTGCATTGCAGGTATCTAGTGTGAGCTGTTTGACTTGCTTACTTGTAGGTTTTTTAAAATTTGACAGTTCAGCAATATATTGTAGCAGTTGTAACATTTACTTTAGTATTAACAACACTCCAAATAAAAATATTTTTTCAATAAATACAGCAGTACCTCCAAATGTTTTATTTTCAATTTTGGACTAATGGAAGTTTCTTTGCAAAAAACACACAAACAAAACTTTACAGGTTGTCTCTCTATTGGTTTTGGATAAATTGATTTAGCTGCAAGTTTAGAGAGTTTAAAAAAACTATTTTACTCAGTTTTATATAAAGTTTCCAAATCACTCCACTTAGCTAAAGTCAGTTCTCCATTATGCAAAAGTTAGTCTTTTCTATTAACCAATATTTCTTATAGGTTTTTAAGAGATGCACATAATCATATAGTATATAAATATATATATATATATATATCAGCGCTCGAAATAACAGCCGATCAACGATCAATGATCGGCTATTTTTAGGGAAATTTAGAAAAATTCAAGGGAAAATAAGCTGTTTTTGTCAAAAAATTACATTTGATCGGCAAGTTTTGAAAAGCTATTTCGAGCGCTGATATATATATATATATATATATATATTATATATATATATATATATATATAATATATATACATACATATATATATATATACATATATATATATATATATATATATATATATATATAATATATATATATATATATATATATGTATATATATATAATATATATATATATATATATATATATATATATATATATATAATATTATATATATATATTATATATATACCTGATGTTGTTAATCATGGTTTACTATCAACTGTTTCAAAAAATTGAACATTTCAAAAAATTGTTGAATTACAAGCAATACAATTCCTTTCTATCTTAAACAATTGAAATTGAAAGCAATAATAAAACTCTAAACTGCCTTGATTTAATCTTAATAAATAACAACAAAGCTAAATACAAGTCACTATAAATATTCAAATTAAACCTCACTCAAATCATGACTCCAAGATTATTTAAAGGTTACGTTCACAGGGTTTGTTCTATATGCAGTATTTTATATTTACAAGATGAGATTAAGTTCCTTATTCAAATGTTTAACGAAAATGAATACAGCATATGCCAACTTACAGATATTGCAAACTTAATTGGAAATAATTGGTCCATAAAAATTAACAAAATTCTATCAGATTCTCTTAACCTCCCTTCTGTATCATTACTGTGGATACCATCACTATCCCTGAAACTAAGGAAAATATTTTGGAAAGCTGGCTATAGAGTAGTCTTCAAATCAAATCCAAACTTAAGAACATTACTACAGGGATTATCTTTTTCTGGATATTTCACTCAACTTTAAGTTTTTCCAGATATCCAAAATGTTTTCCATATATACATTTCCATATATACATAAATTTTTTCATACATGTTTAGATGTATATTTTTATAATGTATTTGTTTTTAAGCTTTTTCACTTATCACTCATACAAAAATAAGAAAAAAATTGGAAACAACTCAGCTAAAAGCAAAATTAAGTGGAAAATAGGAAAAAATATTTTCCTGATATTTTACCCAAACAATTTCCTAGATTTTTAAAATATGACTTGGATGATCTATGTTACTAACATAAAAAAACAACACTAAATTGCCACATAATAGTCAACCGGGAACTTATTTAATTGAATGCAAATGTTCAGAAACTTAGGCAAAAAAAAACTTCAAATTAGGACTCGAACTCAACAACATCTAAAAAGTTTAAACAAGGGGAAACATTACCATTATGCAATAGCCACCCATAATACTCACAAGAGATAAAGTGGGAAAACATGAAAACAATTAAAGTGGAAACAATTTTTTTTT